ATGGTGTTTGCACACAACCACCCTACAATGATAAACGTCCATTCACTTCTTTTTTTAAATTCCCATGCAAAAATCCTAAACGGTTTTAATTTTCTGAGCGGTATGACATCACACTGCTGCTCAGGCCCCGCCCACAACCGCTGGAGGACTGTCCTGTATTAGCATATCTCCGCCCTCAGCCAGCTGTCTGCCATATTCTTTAAGTGCACTTTAAGATTTGCAGTGCTGCACATTCAATACAACTGAGCGGACTTCTTTTTCACAAGGCCAGCCTCTGTTATATATAGTACAGATTAAATTTGATGTGACAAGTTTTAAGCGCAGTGAATTAAATTTCGATGGTCTTAATTTTGACCAGGGTTCGTTTAGGGCTGTTGTTTATGAACTGCTCTCACAACAGGAAGAACACAAACGCTGCACCCAAACATTAAAACAGAAGTGTGTTAGTCTGTCACTGATTCAACTTCTGTTTTATAAAACTGTCATCTCTTAAATGTAACTCATGGGATTTAAAGATATAGTTCACCAAAATAAAAATTCTGTTCATTTATTCATATCGTACTCCCATATCGTTGTTATTTTCTGCTGTGGAACACAAAAAGATTATTTCCTTAATGCATCTGTTTATGTAGCACATGGCCCCAGTTTGACCAAACACTTGAAAACTCATCCGTAACTAATTCTCTTAAATGGATTGTGTTGAACCTGATGTTTACTGCTGCACATGTTTGTCTGACCTCATGAATTCATGAGCGGTGTGGTGTTATTGTTCTGTGATGGATTGTGTGAGTGGAGAATATCAATGAAGGTAATGTTCAGGCCACATCTGCTGGAGCTTTGTCCTCTCACAGGGGTCAGCGAGAGGAAACGCTCTCAGAAAAACACCGATCATTGTCTGTGTGCACTTTAATAGAGTGATCAGACACATGCTATTTATGGTTCTGGTGATTGGCTCAAAGAAATGGATAGTGCTAAACCTTTGAGTGATACCACAATAATAGAGTTTTGTGGCAGAAGCCCATTAAAGTCATGATGAAGATTTTTCTTCTTCCATATTGTGATGTACATCTCGGTGTAATGCATTATCAAAAAAGAAAAAGATCTCGATTCTATGCATCAGCTGTTGATTGGATGTTGAGATGTGGGCGTGGCACTTGCTTGCAAACAATTGTGAGAAAGGGGCGTGTTTAAAAGTGGGCTACTAAACATAAGTGCAAACTAAATGTAATGTTTTCGGATACTTAAATGCATGTTAATTGCAATTGAATGAAAATGTATTATCATTTAAAGTTATATTAAATGCAGTTTTTTGCAGCTTTTTGACCCACTTAAGTAGGACTTAAGTTTAAAAGTACACGTAACTACAAATATCTTTGAAATATAGTTATAGTGTTATTACTGAATGTACTGACAAGCATTTATGATAAACTAAAATATACTTTTACAGTCATTTCTATTGAAACCCGTGTATTTAAATATATTTGTAATTACCCATTTGTAATAATTTAGTGCATTCAAAATATATTAACTTTAAATGTAATATCGAATAACACAATACAGTTAAACTTACAATCAAATACCTATACTTTATAGTACTTTACATGTGCTTTAGTATGTTAGTCAACAAAATCGAAATAAGTGTACTTTAAAGCATGACACAAGATTAGTAAAACATAATGATTTAAAATGTTCTTTTCCATTATTTTGATTGGAAAGTCCTGCATGCATCACCAAAGTGAAGCCTGTCATTTCACATGAAAGATCGAGTTATGCCATATCGATTAAACGTTTAAGAGATCAAAAAAATGATACCCGTATGAATCATTCACAATAAGACCTATATGCATTTATATAAAAAAAGATATGTTGGATTTTCATTTCATGCTGACTTTAAAAATTTCACACAAATTGAAATATACGGTTCTACTTGCTACTCTTGTAACCGAAATGCAAAGATGTAATGCAAACCCAAATCCAGCAGGGCTCTTTGTAGCATCCTGGTACTTTGTAAGCACAGTTTTGTTCCCAGGCGATCTGGTTTAAACCTGTGCACCCTGAAGTTGCTTATGGACAGTCAATCAGATTGGACCTGATGCTTTCCAGTTTTTTTGTGCAGTATGCATCAGATGGTGTATATGTCTGACACTGAGACCAGGCGCTGCACAAGACTGAGGGATTTTCATCAGACTATCAGAAACCAGTCAGGACAAAACTAGGCTGCTATAATTAGCTCTTCTGAGGAATACCTACTTTATGTGATTGCCATGAGATGTCATCAAGTACTATGTTTTTCGAAGAGATATTTCCCCATTTTGACTACACATACGTTGCACATTTTCCACTCTGTGAAATCATTTGCAGAAACTATTGCATCATATAACAAGATAATGAACTGTGATAGGCTGTTTTATGCATAGATCTGCAGCTTTTTCCTGTCTAAGCAGTCGTTGCTATGACACTTCAAACATGCAAAGCTGAGTGCAGATTCAGGCTTAACTGTGGAATATCTAAAGCGTTAAATGTAAGGTCACCATGTAGTTTCAGCCCTAAACTAGACTCTGTTATCGGGGCCTGATGTTGAAGTTCAGACTAGCCGTATGATTTGAGGAATCAGTCATGTCTGGAGCGCAAACGCTGCAAGATGACACACACACACACTGAACTTTAAACTGTAGTATTAAAAAATTCTTAACCCTTAATATGAGTAATGGCCAGAAGCATCATGTGCATTCAAAAGGGCAGGTGGATTTTAAATGTAAAATAAGCTACATGCTTATTGTGAAAACAGAAGCAGTGGCAGAAATCAAATTGATTCAATAAAATGCATCTTTTGTAAAAAAAAGTATAAGTGGTTATACAGTTTTTCCCTCTTAGGTCACTTATTTTTTCAGGGTTTCACACTCAAAAAATAAGTGCATGTAATAATAATGCAAAGCAATAATAATGCAAGGCTTGGTAAGCGGCAGTAATAATTAGAAGGCCACTATAGAGTCACCACATCACACAAACCTCAGCTATATCGGTACAGCTCACACACACACATCACATCTGCCTCAGTCTGATTTCAGATGCCTTGTAATATCAAACAGCATGCACGCTCTTCCTCTTCAAAATGAAAAACAACAACTCGAACTCGACATCCAGCTTATCTAGATCAACTGTGGTCTTTCTTGAGGTTATAACATAACCAGTCACTCCACCCACTGGAAGCCTGTGCGTGATCTGTGTAAGTCGAAAGTAAAGATGGTGTCTAGGAGCCAAAACCATCTGTGAGCACAGCGCAGCTGGAACAAAGCTTTACGTGATCTGCAAGCTTCAGAGATGCTGCGTGAGATCACTGTGTCACTGTTTAACATGGCCCATGCATGTACCCATATCAAGATTTTATAACACAGTTGTGTTTGCTAAGGCAGCACTGTTGTTTTCACTCGTACTGTGGGTTAGAGGTTTAGAGGTTTTAGAACAAACGGCGTTCAGTGTTTGCGTCTTCCTGCAGCGTTCAGACTTGCAGACATGCAGGATTCTTCAAATCGTGTGTGTTGTTGAGGAGAGTGTGCTGCTGCTGTAGTAATATATAGCCTATATATTATATTTCGCATTTTTGAGTTTATATGTCTTAGAATTGTGAGAAAAAAGTCAGAATTGTGAGATGAAAAGTCAAATTTAGCCTACATTTTATTTTTATTCCGTGGCAGAAACAACCCAGAACATCTTAGCAACGTCCTATCCACCTTTTTCTTGCCGGAAAAATGGGCGGCGCAACCATTTGTAAATTCTATGGGTCTAGCTTCCGGTCTCATCTGTGTCCAGCTATTTTTAGCTGAACAAAACAGTTCGTTTTGCTGCTTGATATTGAAAATTGGTGTGTCTTACCATATTACTTTAATGTATTATCTTAATTATGAACACACTGGTTTGTAGAGCAAACAGTTTTACAGTTTACTGCACGTTGTTATTCTTCTCGTTATCTACCTATAGCGGCTAATGAACCGGAAGTCTCGCCCATAGGCTTACTTCCGCGTTGAAGAAAGATAGAAGTAATGTGATTGAAACCACCCTGAACTCTTTATAGCAACCGCAAAGCAATGCCTCAGCAACCACTCAGGACATGTATGTTGTTCGCCCCTGAAGCTGCTCAGACTGGATGTTCTTTATATGTTTGTTTCTTCAGAGAAGGAAGAAACAGATTGGTTTCAGAGTAATTGCAGTAATTATTATTGTCAGAACATTTAGGCAAGTCTGGACTATGAACATTTCTTTAACATGCTTTTTAATTGCAGACTGACGGATGGATAGATAGATGGATGGATGGATGGATGGATGGATGATGGATGGGTGGGTGAATGGATGGATGGAGGATGGATGATGGATGAATAAATGGATGGATGGATGGATGGATGGATGGGTGGGTGGGTTGATGGATGGATGAATGATAGATGGATGGATAGATGATGGATGGATGATTGATGGGTGGATGATGGATGAATGGATGGATGAATAGATTGATGGATGGATGGATAGTTGGATGGATGGATGGATGGGTGGGTGGATGGATGGGTGGGTTGATGGATGAATGGATGGATGATAGATGAATGGATGGATGGGTGGATGGATGGATGGATGGATAGATAGATGGATAGATGGATGATTGATGGGTGGGTTGATGGATGGATGATAGATGAATGGATGGATGGGTGGGTGGATGGATGGATGGATAGATAGATGGATAGATGGATGATAGATGGATGGATAGATGGATGGATGGATAGATGATGGATGGGTGGGTTGATGGATGGATGGATGATAGATGAATGATAGATGGATGGATGGATGGCAGTACAGCAGAGCATGGCACTAGCAACACAGAGGTCATGGGTTCGATTCCCAGGGAAAGCAAGAACTGATAAAAACATGTACCTTGAATGCAGTGTGAGTTGCTTTGGATAAAAGCGTCTTTCAGAGTCATGAGTGTAACTCGTCTGTGTGTCTCTGTTCTGCAGTATGCTGGAGTGGGTGAGTGAAGTGTTCTGGCAGGAGCGTCTGTGGTTCCCGGAGGGTTTGGGATGGGCTGATCTGGAGGACCGTGATGGGCGAGTCTACGCGAAGGCACGGGATTTGTGGGTGGCACTGCCAATCGCCGTCCTGTTTCTAGTAATTCGACAGGTCTTTGAGAGGTGGGTCAGAGCTCTGTCTTTCTCTTTCTCTGTGTTTAACTGTATGTCCTCCATGCAGAGCTTATTATTTTCTCTCCCTCTGCCTCTGTCTGACTGGTTTATAAATAGATCTTTAGTTCTATTTATAGGTGTCGATGTGCGTTTTGTCTCTCGCTTTTCAAACTTTAATATCTTCTCTCCCTGCGTCACTCCCTTCATGTTACTCTCCCATCCCTCTCTTATCCTAAGCTGTCTCTTCACATCATCTCTTGCTTTCTCAGTCATCCTGTGAATTTTTAATTACCGTGAGTCTCAGAATTAAGGAATAAGAGGCTGAATTAGGATCAGTGCGCTAAAATACGCCTAATTACATCATCTGGTCTGAACTATAATAAGCTGCCTGACTAGACTTTGAGGCGTCTGACTGGCATTTGGAACAGAGCCACAGTCTAAAGTCACTAATCATTAATCAAACTGAACAGTCCAATTCAACATATCAATCAAGGTCATTTAAAATGCATAGTCCAAAAAAAATTTTTTTGAATAAAATAAATAAATAATTATAATAATAAAAAGACAGTAGCAACGGAAAGCAGTGGTCCGTTTAAGACAAGTCTTTTCACTCGGTGGCCTCTCTTTGAATGGTGAAACATAAAATTCTCCAAAATCTGACAACAACTGTCTCATAAATGTTGTTTCTTATGCTCAAATAGCGTTAAAAAAACTTATTTTTCAGGCTAGACTGGCCAATGCGCATGCGCAGTCCTAGCGCGCATCTCAGAACACTTACTGTTTCTATAGCAACCGGAGCAAAGCCACACTTTCTCCCATTCATTAGTCGTAGGAGTGCACCGTCTTTGTTTAGACTCATCTAAAGTCTTTGAATAAATGGACTAATATTATACAACAATGGTACACAGACTATAAATATGGACGATAAAGACACTGTTCAAAAGTTAGGGGTTAAGGTTTTTTAATGTTTGTAGTCTCTTCTGCTCACTAAGGCTGCATTTATTTGATCAAAAATACAGTAAAAATGTGAAATATTATTACAATTTAAAATAGCTGTTTTCTGTGTGAATATATTGTAAAATGTAATTTATTTCTGTGATCAAAGCTGTATTTTCAGCATCATTACTCCAGTCTTCAGTGTCACATGATCTTCAGAAATCATTCTAATATGCTGATTTGCTGCTCAAGAAACATTTCTGATTATTATCAATGTTGAAAACAGTTGTGCTGCACAATATTTTTGTGGAAAGTGTGATGCATTTTATTTTTCAGGATTCTTTGATGACTAGAAAGTTCAAAAGAACAGCATTTATTTGAAATAAAAATAAAACTTTACTGCCACTTTTGATCAATTTGATGCATCTTTGCTGGATAAAAGTGTTAATTTTTTTCGAAAACGTCTGCCTGTATGTTCAGATATGTTGCTACACCGCTAGCCTCTCTGCTGGGCTTGAAGGAAACAGTCAGACGGCGAGTTACACACAACCTCACACTGGAGTCCTACTATTGCAACACAACTAAACACCCCACACAGGTGTGTACACTGCTAGCCACTCTCATACATGAATAACAAATCGGCCTGCAATATCAGCTCTTCATGTGTTTTTGCTCTCCAGAGTTCAGTAGAGAAACTGTGCAAGCAGACGGGATGGACCGAGCGACAGGTCCAGCGCTGGTTCAGGCGGCGCAGGAATCAAGACAGACCCAACCTTCTCAAGAAGTTTCGTGAGGCCAGGTGAAAAAACACACACCAACAGATACACACTCCTCACAAGTGCTTTCTATAGTCCTGTTACCATCGACCGTCGTCCTGTGAGATGAGCTTTGGCTGCTGATGTATGAGATTAAATGGTGCTTTATGAAAGCGGTTTCTGTAAGTGCAAAAGCTGAAGTCAGTTCTGCGTAAATGGCAAGTCTGATCCTCTGAAGTGTTCCCACTGGTGTTTGGCACTTATTAAATTATTCATATGTTCAGTAAAAGTTTTAAAGGCTCGTTCACGTGCAGATTTTCTCGATCCTGGTCCTGGAGGATGGCAGCACTGCACATTTTTCCAGCTCAGGTCTTAAAGCCTAATGCATTGAATTCTATGGCAAGAAATGGTGCACTTAGGTTAAACATAGTGAACGAGGAGGATCTCGGTGCGTATCATTGCCATTCATCTTAATAGTGCACAACCCAGAAAAACATCACTGTTCGGCTGCTCTCAAACTTTTTGCTAGTGACTAAATATATAAGACTATTTCACACTTTAAAGAGCTTTAAAAATAATCAAGTAGTGGTTAAAAATCCAATGTAATTAGTGATTAATTACATTGGAAATTATTGTTTTTTAACAAATCACAGAAAAAGGGAACACAGAAACTGAAAATTAAAATTTCCATTTAGCCGAAACTAAAAATTTACTCAAACTAAAAAGTTTTTTTTAATAATGAATGAATTAATCAAATTAATTTAATAATCAACACTCAGATAAAAAAAATTGATTTATATATGAACATTTAAATTGCATATAAGGCTGTTTTTATATCAACTTTTTTATTATATAATTATGTTTGAATCTAATTCATGAAATATAAACAATTAAACGGTGGCTGTAATAACTTGTTTTCATGACAGATTTATTCAAACATACATTAAATAATAATAACAAGTTAAGTAAAATTAGTGCTGTCAAATCGATTAATCGCGATTAATCGCATCCTAAATAAAAGTTTGTGTTTATATATATGTGTGTGTACTGTGTATATTTATTATGTATATATAAATGCATACGCATACAGTATATATTTTGAAAATATTTAAATGTATTTACATTTATATATTTATATTCATATAATTTATATTATATAAAAATATATTTAATATATAAACATAACATATTTTTCATAAACACATGCATGTGTGTGTATTTATATGTGACCCTGGAGCACAAAACCAGTCATAAGGGTCAATTTTTTTAAATTGAGATTTATACATCATCTGAAGGCTGAATGAATAAGCTTTCCATTGATGTATGGTTTGTTAGGATCGAACAATATTTGGCTGAGATACAACTATTTGAAAATCTGGAATCTGAGGGTGCAAAAAAATCTAAATATTGAGAAAATCATCTTTAAAGTTGTCCAAATGAAGAACTCAGCAATGCATATTACTAACCAAAAAGTTTTGATATATTTACTGTAGGAAATTTACAAAATATATTCATGGAACATGATCTTTACTTAATATCCTAATGATTTTTGGCATAAAAGAAAAATCTACAATTTTGACCCAAACAATGTATTTTTGGCTATTGCTACAAATATCCCCCAGCGACTTAAGACTGCTTTTGTGGTCCAGGTTCACATATACTGTATGCATAATAAATATATACAGTACACACACACATATTATGTAAACACTAACCTTTATTTTGGATGCAATTAATCGCAATTAATCGATTTGACAGCACTAGTAAATATATAATGAATATGTAATATAGTGCAAATATTTATGTCTTCGTTTTTTCGAGCTCACTAATGATTTCATGAACATTGAATGTCTTTCCTGAGGGAAATGTGACGTTACATGACATCATTGTTCACAAGCTGTTTTACTGACGTCTCTGTTTGATCGATTACACGAGACGTGATTGATTTCAATAAATTGTTCTGTTTCTTTCCACACCTTTGATGTTCATTCATGTGTTTTTCATGCTATAACTAGTAGTAAAGAGGAAGAGGTGATCGGTGCAGCTACAGCCATCTGTCACAACATTAAAGAGTGTCAAAACAACATTTATTGATTGTATTTCATGATACAATTGACAGAATATGAAAGATCAGACTTTGTTTCATATAAAAAATAACAAAGCTTATTGTGATTATTGGATGGCACGCACTAAAAATAAAGTTTAGTGAATTTTTGCTCACAGATCAACGGAAAAGATCTCCGTTCATCCAAATGAAGATTGATTAAAAAGTCTATCCACGTTGTGTGCATGAATTAGTCTCTGACACAGTCAAAATGTGGCATCAGAGAAATGCTAATTAAACATCATTGCTCTGGTCAATGATTTTGGCCCTCCGGAACTATTTTGGCTAAAACCGAAAATTAATTTTCAGACGAAGATGTTTTTTTTATGTTGAAATTTGGTGCATCACAGATATAGTGAAATATTTGTATGTTACTTGGAAAAAACATGTATAAACATGGAAAATAAAGCTGTTTTCCCCCATAACGGTTTAGTTATGGCATCTAACACTTAACTAACCACCTTTGCTCTTTTGTAGCTGGAGATTCGCCTTTTATCTTCTCGCCTTCATCGGTGGTCTTGCTGCACTAATAGATGTAAGTCATTTGCAGTTTCAGCCTGTTTTAACTCTCTGGTTTTATTTCCTGTGCTGATTTAATGCTTAACACAATCCGTCATGTCCGTCTCTTTCTCTAGAAGCCCTGGTTGTATGATCTCGAGGAGATGTGGAAAGGCTTCCCCACTCTGGTGAGTTAAACACATGGCCTCATGCTGAGCTGCTCTTTTGTCATTTCCAGCAAATGCGGTATACTTTAGTAACTGTACAACAATTTTGAAACATCAGCCCTCTACGGACACCTTGGCAATTGAATACTGGCGAGTAAAATCTGAGAATTTATTAGCCATTGGCTATAATTAGACATCATTTAGTCGCCCAGAGTAAGATTTAGTCGCATATGCGAGTGATTTACTCGCAATGTAGAGGTTTGAACATGCTGCACATACTACAAATTTAGTGCATAAGAATTAAGCATTTCCATAACCAACTAACATTAAATAGAGCTGATGTTGTGCTGATTTCAGGTGTGTCATTCATTTGTTATGAATAATGTGGTATTTTTGTTTGTGCCCATATAAAGTTCAACATGAGAATCCCTTGTGAAAAGGAAGTACACTTTAGCATACTTTAAAAAAAGAGTAATTATTTAGGAAACAATGTACTTTAAAATAACATACTTAAGTGTGAACTGAATGTGATGATTTCAGACACTTAATTGCATGTTATTTGCAATTTAATGCATTATAGTTTATTAAATGCAATTAGTCAAACTAAGGAGTGGTTTTTTACCCACTTAAGTAGGACTTCAGTACATCTTTATATGTAATTTCATAATTCTATTGTCTTTTAAATATGGTTAAAGTGTTCCTGCTGAATGTACTGACAAGCATTTATGATAAACTAAAATATACTTTAATGACATTAAAATACAAGTATTTAAATACATTTGTAATTACACATTTATAATGATGAAATTGTAGTTTAAAATATATTTACTTAAAACGTAATATTGAATAACACTAAAAGTATAAATTATAATCAAGCACTGTACTTTACATGTGCTTTAGTATGTTAGTCAACACATCAAAATAAGTGTACTTCTTTAAAACATGACAAAAGATTAATAAAACAATGATTTAAAAATATACTTTAAATGAAACTGACATTATTACAAAGTGCACTTTTTAAAAGTGTGTTAAGAGATAGTCATGAAAGTGTCTCTCTTTAAGTGCACTCAAGTGGCCTTTTATTTCATTAATACTATACTATTTTTTTTTTACAAAATATGCTTTTCAGATTTGAAGTACAGTACAAATGCACATTCAGTGCTGTTGAGCACACTTATACACTTTGTCATTCTGAAAACCCAGATTTCTGATGTTTAATGTTTAAAACGCATGTATATGAAGAAATATACTTTTAAGAAAACATACTTTTTAAAAGTGCACATTCAAAGCAGACTTTCTCACAAGGCAAATAATAACATCAGATGGTACCTTTCTTTTGTAGAATTTAAACCCATGTGTAAGCATTTAGTTGACGTGATAATTAAAAAAAATCCTTATCACATGGTTATATATAGAACATTTATGAGGTGAATATATAGAACATTTATGAGGTGAATTTCCAGCAAAATAAGATAATAAATGATACCGTAAACATGATATAAATTACTCATTCTTTGATAAAGATTTTGGTCATATTACTCACTTCTACTGAAGAAATTTGATCTGCATCAAACTGAATTTGCAGTCAAGTAATAACAATAAAGTCTGTTAGTACGTAATCAGATGTGGCTAGTTTATACTGTACATTATTCGAGTGAACGTTCTCTCTGTCTCTCAGACTCTCCTGTCGTCTCAGTACTGGTACTACATGCTGGAGCTGGGTTTCTACACCTCTCTTCTCTTCAGCCTGGCGTCTGATGTCAAGCGTAAAGTAAGTCGTCATTAATAATCATCACACTGCAAACCTCACCTTCGCATCTCAATGAATCAGACTTTATTTTTTGAGCAGCGCAGTATTCAAAGCAGCAGCTAATGCTGGGAATCACTGCAGGCTGTTTTGTTTTTGCGGTGGTCTTGATGACAGATGTTTAGATTATGTAACAAGTAAACTAAAGTAACTGAAAAATGTTGTTTCCTTCTGCAAGTCTCTGGTGTCAGACTGAGAAATAGATTTAAACGCATGAATCTGAGCCACTGACTTTGTGGAAGCAACAGTATAAAGTGAAGTAATATACAAATAAACTTTGAAAGGTGAATATTGGTTGTTGAATTTGTAACAATGAAAAAGTGTGTGTAATGTTTCCAGCTGAAATATTCACAGTTTGTATGTTTTGAAGCTATATTTAGTTAGTTAATTATAGGATTATTATAGTAACTACAAAAAAAAACATTTTATTTCAGTTCATTTTTAATTCATTATACGTTGATGTACTAAATAACTAAAGGTAAAACAGACAAGTTAAGTAGAACTCTGTCTGTCTGTCTGTCTGTATATCT